AGCGCCTCGGCCCCGCGGTCGCCGCCCGCCAGCGCCTCGGTGGGCTGCGCCATCGGCGGCGGAGGACCTCTCGGCGGACGAAGTTGCATCCGCGGACGCGGAGGAGGCTGCGTCCTCGGCGGCACCTGCACCGACTTGGCCCTGGCCTGCGGAGGTGGCTGCATCCTCGGCGGCACCTGCAGGACCTGCGGCGGGGGCGGGAACGCGGGCGGCTGCGGCACGCGCCTCCAGACGCCCACCTCGGGCAGCGCAGCAGGAGGAGCTGCAGAAGGCGCCTCAGGCAGCGCAGCAGGAGGAGCTGCAGAAGGCGTCGCAGTCGACGAGGACGAGGAAGTGCACCTCCTGCTGCAAATAGCGGGCCACCTCCTGCAAATTGCGGTCCAGGAGTCGGCCAGCCGCACTACCTCCTCGGGGTCCGCCTCGCAAGACAACTGCGTCAACGCCTTCAGCACGTCCGACAGCTCGTTGCAGACGGACGCGACGTCGACGCCGGCGGCCTCCAAGGACGCGACCGACTCCTGCTGCAGCAGCTCGCGGATCCCCTTCTAGAAAGGCACCAGCTATACACCAACACCGATCCTCCCCTGGATCACCCTGGGCCTGCAGGATCGGTGTATACGCCCTCCTGCCTTGCTTAAGAAGGCATATGCGGCATATGCACCGATCCTGGGCCCAGGGTGGTCCTGGGCCAGGATCGGTGTTGGTGTATAGTTGGTGCCCTCCGACCTTCTCTGCGGAGGCGCAGATCTGCTGGTGGGCGTCGTCCAGCGACGAGGTGCTGCTGCGGCCAGCCGCGAGAGCGTCCAGCTGGCGCCGGAGCCGGCGGACTTCCCGGCCGACGCGAGGCATGCAGCCAGCGCCGCAGCGGCGCAGCCGCGCAGAGGGCCCGGCCCAGCGGCGCAGCCGCGCAGCGCAGAGGGCCCAGCGGAGCAGCCGCGCAGAGGGCCCAGCGGCGCAGCCGCGCAGAGGGCAGCGGGCCGCGGGCGGGCCCAGCGGCGCAGCCGCGCAGAGGGCTGCCGGGCTGCCGGCGGGCGGCCGTGCGCGCAGCCGCGCGGCCGGCGGGCAGCCGCGCAGAGGGCTGCCGGCGGGCGGCAGGCTTGGAGCCAAAACGGCTACGGAGGACAAATGAGCATAACAATCGAAAGATGTGGGCGGACAGGCGGACCTGCGGCCGCGTATATCGAGGATCTGGGAATCCAAACATACCTGCTTCCAACGGCGGGACGGCGGGGCCTGGTTGGGCCTGGGCCAGCAGCGGGAAGCGGAGACGAGGCTGAGGGGCAACAGGAGGAGCAGCGCGAGGAGGGCCATTAGCGGGAAGTGGAAGGATGAACAGGGGGGCTGGAGGAGAAGGAGGAGGAAGTGGAGGAGAGGAGTGGGGGGGGGGAATGAGAAGGGCAGCATCATGAACAGGGAGGCTGGAGGCTGGAGGCGAGGAGAGGAGGTGGAGGTGAAGAGAGGGGGGGGGGCCCCGCTTTCACGCATGGGTTGCGCTTTGAAGGCCCCGGGCTCCTTCAGCGCCCACTGCATCACGATGCACCTCCGGCCGTGGCGCCGCGCGCTGTTCAGCGCAATCCGACCTGCGAGCGGAAATCGTTTGCAGCAAAGGCCCGCAAATGCATATGTTTGAATCGTCGTCGCCACCGGGAATGAGAGGGTGAACACGAGTGGGAGTAGAGGGAGGTGAGGAGATGAATCGGAGGATGGGCAAGGAGAAGAGTAAGAAGAAATAGCACATGGGATAAAGAGGAGGACGGAAGGCGGCAGAGGCAGAGGAAGAAGGAAAAGTGAAGGAGGAGGAAGGAGGAAAGAGAAGGGGGGGTGCTAAAAGAGGGTAGGAGGAAGGAGAACGGATAAGTGATGTAAAAAACACTCGGCCGCCGTCGCTGCACAAAAACACTCGACCATCGTCGCTGCGTTCCAAAACACAACCAAGGTTAAACAACACAAGAGTGAGAAGAATGCCATCTAGCACATCATCATCATCATCATCACCACACATCATCATCATCATCAGCATCATCATCACCATTCTGCTCGCCGTCGTCCGCCTCCTGCTCCTCCCACTCCTCCATCATGCTTCCTCGCCCTCCTCCTCTTCCTCCTCCTACCTCCTCCCGCTTCTCTCCAGCCCTTGCTGAACAACCGACTGCAATGCGTGAGAGGCTGGGGCGAGAAATGGATGACCTGGAGACTTCTTCGCCTTGGGGTAAACGGTGTCCATGTTCCCCAGGGCCCCCAACGTCGAGCCGGCGAGGGAGATGAGCTTCTTCTCGTCCATCGTCTGCACCATGACCGCTCGGGATTAACCCGCCAGGCCGCGGCGCCGCGAGTGCGCTCGGGGGGCGATCGCGGGAGGGGCGGCCAAGGAAACAGAAAACGGCCTGGGCCCCCTCGGCGCGACGAGGACCAACGGCGGCAAGGAAGCCAGGTCGCGCGAGCACAAGGGGAAAAGTGAGACGGGGCAAGGAGGGGTGCCGGGGGAGAAAGGGCGAGGGACTAAGAGCTGGGCTCGGGCAAGTGGGGGCGAGTGGAGCGGGGGGAGGAGAGGGCCAAGCGATGCCCGAACATCAGCCGAAGTCCGCACCAACGGTCGCATCGCCTGGTCTGGTCGACCCGATCCGACCGCATCGGCCCGAGGCTGACAATTCTCATTCGGGATCGGCGGCGGAGCCATCAGGCTGGCAGCTTGGCGAGGTTCTTCTGCAAAGCCTCATCGCCGATGAGACGGAAGTTGTCCAGGAGGCTGCTCGGGGGGGCGTACTTGTAGATGACGTCGGCAAGCTCGGAAGCCCTCTGGTCAAAGAGCGCCAAGATCTTCTGCTCCATCTTCGTTAGTGCCTTCACTGCCGCCGAACTCCTGCGCTGAATGTCCATGTCCTTGCCCCAGCCCTCCTGGGCCTCATACTTAGACGCTGATGAACTCGTCAACCATGCAGTGTACGTGTCGAGCTGAGCCTTGAACTTCAGGAAGGTGTCCGCAACGCAGCCGGTGACCTTCAGTTTCGCGACGTTACCTGCTTCAATGTTGCTCAAGGTGTCGACGGCCGCCGAGACAACGAGGTTGTGCCGCTGGAGGAAGAACATGCGCCCGCCGTCAATGTCTCCGAGGCTCACGTCCTTGACCCGCTCGACTGCGCCAGCGACATTCACCTTCAGGGCGCCATACCTTCCTAGAACCTCTGCCAAGTCAGGCGCGTGGCCCTCGGGCGCGTCGATAGCCTTCTCCACCGAGGTGATCACGTCGTCAGCAACCTTGCACGCCGCGAGCAACGTCTGCGCGGGCGCCTCGAGGGTTCGCAGGAGGACATCTGAACAGGCGGGCATGATGGAGGTTCTTAGGCACTGCACAAATGTGGCGAGCTTGGGTAAGAAGGAGTCCATATCCGCAGACAAAGACGAAGCCCTCGGGTCCTGCCAAGCGTCGAGCGGCGCAGCAATCTCGGATCTGCAATTCATGAAACTTTCGAACACACGGCTCATCCTCTCGCATATACCAGACGCGCACTGCAAACTGGACGCCGGCTGCTCCGACGACTTGCCTGCCGCTATAGCTGGGATGGTGCCGTCGGAATAGAGCAAGACGAACTCGTGTTCCCACTGTGCGGTCTCGCGAACCGCGCGTAACCACTGCTGCTGCATCTGCGCCTCGCAGTCAGGCCCCCCCTCCATCTTGCCAGGGCGCGGGCCCGGATCAATGGCGTCGACGAGGGCCTTCAAGAAGGGCGGGGGAAGGGCGGGGCGGGAATGTCAAACTCCCGGCCCTATCCTGAACAACCCCACGCCGCCCCACTCGCAGCGCAGGAGGAGGGGGGAGGAGGAGGAGGAGGAGGAGGAGGAGGGAGGAGGAGCAGGGAGGAGGAGCAGGGAAGAGGAGCAGGGAGGATGAGGATGACAGGGAGGAGGAGGAGGAGGAGGAGGAGGAGAAGGAAGGAAGAGGAGAAGGAGGAGGAGGACTGTTCTGCGAGCTAGCCGCCATGCGAAGCGTAAACAGAACGAATCATTGATCTAACCTCGGGGCCAATGGGACTGGACTACCAAACATGAAATCAGTTCCCCCTCCTCCTCCTTGCTCCACTCCCTCCTCCTTCCTCCTCTCCCTCCTCCTTCAAGCCCTGTATGTGTCGACAGGAAGAGCGACTGCTCCTGCCCCTTGTAGCTGCGGCGCGCCGTTGTCGTCCACGAGGAGCTTCTCAATCAAATGGACTCCGCCCGCCCAAGTAGCGGCCACAACCGCGGACCGAACGGCGTCGGCGTACTGGCGGGCATCCGCGGGGCAGAACTCGTTGAACATGTCCAGCCGAGCTTTGCCCTCCGTCGACTGTTGCCTGATCGTCAATGTCGAGGTAGTCAAGGTGGCCACTTGGTCTTCAAACGAGGGTTTGGCGCCCTCCTGCTGCGTCGATCTGGACAACGTCTCCGTTTCGGCCTTCACCTTGTGCAGCCAATCGGACAGCTGGGTAAACTCGCGGCGTCGCTCCGTGGCCATTTTTACCAAGGGCGCCCCGTGCTTGGGGAATCTGACGAAGTAGTTGGCTAGGTGATCGCCCTGCCCATCGGTGAATCGGAAAGTCGCGCGGGCAAGCGGGCCAGGGGGGAAGGCGAGAGGCCGGCCGGAGGCAGCGGATGAACAGGGAAGGGCAAGAAGCGGGGGAAGGGGGAGAGGACGGTGGTCGAGAGGGGGGGTGGGGAACGGGGCAGCACCATTCAAGCGGCGAGGGTTGGCGGCCAGGGGGGCAGGGCAGCGCCAATTCGAACCTTGCTCTCACTACTCATCGCCATTCCAATTTCACCCTTTGCCACGCCTGCTCTGTCCAGGCGCGCGCAACCCGCCCCGATAACCATGAGAGCACAGCAATGGTGCGCCTCGAGCCCCAGCCCCCAACGGACGAGGAGGGACGGAGAAGGACGGGGAGGGAGGGGGGAAAGGTGGAAGAGGAGGGGAGGGAAGGAGGAGGAGGGGGAGGAGGACAATGGGGGCGGACATTTCGCGACCCAGGTCAGGCCATGGCCACCGACGCGTCGGCCTTCACCAGACGCTGCAGCGGCTCCACCTGGAACGTCGCCTTCGGCAACTGGACGAGCGCCTGGACGTCTCGCAACTGCGCCACGACGCTTGGGTCGTACTCCTCGGGGGCACTCGCGATCTGCTTCAAGATAACATTCAACGCCTTGCCCAACTCTGCCTTGACGTAGCCCAACGGGCGCGCGCTCGTCAGCGCAGCCGTGAGAAACTCGCCAAAATACTTCGCCTGCTTCGACGCGGCCTCCAAGAGGTGGGCCGGCAGAGGGCCGGCCTCCTTGACGGGGCCAGCCTCGTCACTCGCGGGGGTCCGCTCATCGGCCATCAGGATGTCCGTCAACGGCACCGCGCCATTCGGCGCCCGGGCCTCGGGGGGCTCGGCCGAAGGCGAAGGCAGCGGCGGGGCGCAAGCCTCGAACATCGTCGCCAATTGCGAGCGCGTGAGCAACTGCACCAGGGAGTCGGCACAGTCGAACGGTCTCGCGGCCTGAGCGGGGCGCTCGAGCAATGAGCAGAATAGAGCGCGAGAAGGGGAGGGGGCGGAAGGGCGAAGGGACAGGGGAATGATGAACGGAAAACTAAGACCAGAAGAAAAGAAACAAAAAAAGGAAACGAGAAGGGCAGATGACGGGCGGGGGCCGAAGCAGCGGGGGAGAGGGGGAGGATAGGAGGGGGGGGAGGGGGAGGACAGAGACAGAGACAGAGAGAGAGAGGGAGAGAGGGATAGAGAGGCATAAACAGCACTTCCCATCCGCCAGGCTCCAGAGGCCTTCCTCATCACGTCTGAATCCCAGCGAGAAGCAACTCCCCGATCGCTAAAATCTGAAGCCGTGCGGCGCGACAAGGCCCGGGCCCGGGGCGCCCCGAACAAATGCCCTATAAGCAACAGCGCAGAGATGGCGCAGCAAAAGGCTCCTTGAGCGTGATGTTGGTGCGCCACAAGAACTCGCAATCGATCTCGACGGGCGGGTCGGCCAGCGCGAAGGCGGTCAACGAGTTCCACTCCTCGTCGAAGCTCACGAAATGCTTGTCAGCATCTCCTCCTTGGCGGTTCTTCCATTTCTTATAAAGCTTACAGCCCATCTCCATCACCTGGAACGTTTTGGCAATGAGTTCGAAGGCATGCTTCTCTGTCTCGTCTTTGGTAGCTGCTGCTTTGTTGCGCGCAACCCCAGCCCAACGCACGAGGGAACGGATCTTGGTCGTCGCATCGCTGCCGAAGTAATTGGACCGCTCGTTGCACTGCCTCCACGAGCGACGATTTTCCTTCAACGTCTCCTTGACGTCCAGTTTTGGTCGACCTGCTGTTTTCTCTTGGTCTGTGTCATCGTCGCCTACTCCATCTTCTTTGTCACCAGTGCCACCCACCTTCGCCGCCTTTGCCTTTGTCTTCGACTTCGATGTTGCCTTTACCACCTTTGTCGTGCTGGCTGAAGTTGGAGCCCTCTTGGCAAGTGGCGCGCCTCCGTCGTCCGAGTAGAGGTCGTCGTCGGTGTCGGAGTCGTTCGCCGCCCGGACGAAGAAGCACATGGAATTGGCCTTCTTGGCCGGCGCCTTGGCCTTGGCGGCGCGCCGCTTTTTCTGCTGATGCGCCTTCTTCAGCTTGGCAGCCTCGTTCTGTCGATCTTCTTCGTCCATCATGCATTCCTGGAGCACGCTGAACACGGCGCCCCTGCATACGCTGTTGTACGCTTCCGTGCTTGCCTTCGTCAAGTCGGCGAACTTCTCGGCTGCCGCGGACTCCCCAGACTCGCTGCCCAAATCCTCGGACTCCTCGTGCTCCAAGGTGGAACCGAGCTGAGTCTTGATCTTCATTGGCTCGTCGCCTTTCGATCCCGGGACGGCCACGCCGCGGATGCCTTCCATGACGCACACGACGTGGTTGAGAGCTTTATTCTTGGGCAACTTCGGGTCACCGAAAAGTTTGCGATACTGCGCCATCGGGTAAAATAAATCATCAGGTTTCTCCAGGAAACGATTCTGATACCTCTTCTTCCTCACGTGGAACCTCTGCTTCGTCTTGCGGCCTGAGGGCCGCAAGCAACGCGACAAGGCCGCGGCTGCAGCCTTCCCCAGCCCGCACTGTGGAGCCCTGCCCCAAGGGCAAGCCGGGGCCGCGGGGGGTCCGAGGTCGGCGACAGCCGCGGACTTGAAGTGGGGGAGAGCGGGGAAGGCGAGAGCGGCTGCCGAGCCTGGACTCCTCTTTGTCTTCAGCATCCTCTTTATCACGGACTCCTTGGTCTCGCTGCGCTTCTGCTGGAAGGCCTCCCTTTTCGTGTTGTCCTTGCCAAGTTGCTTGGCATAGTGCTCCCTCTCCTGGTCAGGCCCCTCCTGCAAGTGCCTCACTTTGGTGCGCCAAGTCTTGCCGCATAGCCAGCAACACGAGCCCTGCGAGGACGAGGGGGCCGACGCGTCCTCGGTGTCGTACTCCCACCTGATGACCTTGCGCTGTGGGTCGCACGGGTCAGGGCTCTCGTTCCAGATCGCCCCGCACTGCATGGCGCAGAACTTCTTCAGCCCCTTCCGCTGCTCCGTCACCTGCCCCGAAGCAGCGCGAGGGGCAACGGCGGGGGGCGCAGCAGGATGACGGCGGCGTCGGGCGTCTTGGCTGGGCGGGCCCGCGATCGAGGAGAGAGGAGGGGAGGGCCGGGCGGGCCGGGCGGGCCCGCGATCGAAGAGATCGAGAGACACGAGAGGCGGCGAAGCTCGAGGCAATAAAAACCTGGAGGGCCGAGAACAAACGAGGGGCGAGGAAGGGGGGGGCAAGGCAAGGGCACAAGTGGGGGAAGGGAGACGACGGCGAACAGGGCGGAGACTACAAATACCGCCCGATTCGCCAGTGGACACCTCAGGCTCATCTGCCTCGCCTGCGGCGTCGGCGCCCTCGTGCGCAACCGACGGGCGGTAGCCGCGGCGATGTCGATGCGCCCGCCTCCCCCTTTTGCCGCCCCCTCCCCCCGCACTCACCCGCGCCCCCGCAACGTCGCTCTGGCGCATGCCGCATGGCTGGGGGAGCATCGCGGGAGAGGCGGGGGCGGGCGGGGGCAGCGGGCGCGGCGACGGCGCTGCGGCACGCGCGCTTCGACTGTGGACCTCGGGCGCATCCTCTAGCGCGCCGGCCGCGTCTCCGTCGGGCGATCTCTGCCTCTGCTTCTGCCTCGTCTTCTTCGCCCTGGAGTCCTCGCAGCCCTCGGGCGGCTCCGGGGGCGGGGCGCACGCGGATCCGCTCGAGCCGCTCGGCGGAGCGCCCCGCGCGCCCTGGCGGGGCGAGAGCTGGGCTGGGACGAAAGACGAGGGAGGGGCGGGCAACTGGCTGCCCTCCTCCTCCTCTCCCACCTCCTCCCCCCCCTCCTCCTCCCCTCCTCCTCCTCCTCCTCCTCCTCCTCCTCCTCCTCCTCCTCCTCCCCCTTGCGTAACCAACCCCCATCCATTGACCCTCCTCCCCCTCCTCCTCCTCCGCCTCCTCCTCCTCCTCCTCCTCCCCCTTCTCCCTTTAGCCGTAGCCGTAACCCTCCTCCCCGTTTCCCCATCAACCCCTGCCCGTCCTCTTTCAACCCGCCCTTGGGCGGGTCAGGCCCTTCGCTCCTTGTCGTCCGCGACCTCCTCCTCCTGCTCTGCGACCTCCCCCTTCTTGGTGCGTTTCTTCTTGTCCGCGACCTCGTCCTTCTGCTCTTTCTTCTCCTTCTTCTCCTTCTTCTCCTTGCCCTCCTTGGACCTGTCCTTGTCCTTGTCCTTGTCCTTGCCCTTGATCTTGTCCTCAGAGGGCGGCCCAAGGGGGCAATGGCAAGCAGGAGTGGAGACTGGGGGTGGTAAGGAGGAATCAACTCTGAATCATGTCCTGTTTCTTCTCCTTCTTGCCCTTCGCCATGGAGGCCGCGCGCCCCAGGCCAGTGGCGGCCAGGGCTCCGGCGGGGAGCGCGCCCCAGGCCCTGGGCCCTGGGCCCCCGGGCAGCCTCGCGCGGGGGCGAACCAACTGGCTGGCTGCAGGAGCCGCCCCCGCCGTCGCACAGGGAGGAGGAGGGAGGGAGAGAGGGAGAGGGAGAGGGGGGAGAGGGAGAGGGAGAGGGAGAGGGAGAGGGAGAGGGAGAGGAGAGGGAGAGAGAGAGAGGGAGAGAGAGAGAGAGAGAGAGAAGAGAGAGAGAGAGAGAGAGAGAGAAGAGAGAGAGAGAGAGAGAGAGAGAGAGAGAGAGAGAGAGAGAGAGAGAGGAGAGAAGAAGAGAGAGAGAGAGAGAGAGAGAGAGAGAGAGGAGAGAGAGAGAGAGAGAGAGAGAGAGAGAGTCAGAGGGGGGAGGAGGGGGGAGGGAAGGGCAGAAGGGAGCGAGGGAGGGAGGGATGAGGGAGGGAGGGAGGGAGAGAGAGAGAGAGAGAGAGAGAGAGAGAGAGAGAGAGAGAGGAGAGAGAGAGAGAGAGAGAGAGAGAGAGAGAGAGAAGAGAGAGAGAGAGAGAGAGAGAGAGAGAGAGAGAGAGAGAGAGAGAGAGAGAGAGAGAGAGAGAGAGAGAGAGGGAGGGAGGGAGGGGCCGAGATGGGGGAGGGAGGAGCGAGAAGGGAGGGAGGGAGGAGGGAGGGAGGGGGACGAGCGCCCCACGAAGCCAACGAGGCCACGTTGAACCATTCTCGTCGGAGTCGCGCTCGGGTGATCTCGGGGGATCTGGGGCCAGCGGTTGGGCAAGGCCTGAAGCGTGGAACAAGGCGGAACGACGGGATCATTTGGCAATGAAGCGCAAGACTGATCGGACCCGACGAGCTCGCCATGAACAGCAAGTGGCGGCAACGAGGCGGGCGCGGGGCCCCGTCCTCAAGACAGGAACCCGTCCTCCAAGGGAAGCCGCCCTCAAAACAGAAAGCCGCCCTCAAGACAAGAATCCGCCCTAAAAACAGGAAGCCGCCCTCAAGACAGGTAAGTGAGCCTCGAACTTCAAAGTGGTAAATTATGGAGCCGCCCTCAAAACTTCAAGACAAGAACCCGTCCCCCGAGGGAATCGCGGCGCGAGCGGTCCCTACCTCAGACGTCCCACTCGTCGGCGTCTGGGACGAAGACGCCCTTGATGCCGTCGTGGGTGTGCGCGACGTGATTCAACTCCTCCTTGATGGATCCGTAGATCTGCTGGTAGGCCTGCATGGTGAAGAACAAATGCGCCTTGCCGCGAAACATCACGGAAGGGGCCTCGTCCCCGCCGCCACCGTCCTCGCCCCCGCCGCCACCGTCCCCGCCGTCAGGAGAGCCATCGCGTGAGCCATCATCGCTGCCGGACTCGATGACCTCGTCCGAATCTGAATGCTGCTGCTGCTGCTGCTGACGTAGACCTGCTCCTCGCGCGACGCGACGCCGATCTCGTCCTAGAGCGCGGCGGCGAGGAGGGGCCCGGGCCCGGGCGAGGGACTGAGGAGGCTGCCGAGAAGAATCACAAGGTGGAGGAAGAGGGCGAGAGGGGGGGAAGGGCGGCGAGAGGAGGGGCAGGGCGAGGAGGACGAGGTGACGAGGGCGAGGAGGGCGAAGCGGAAGGCCGAGGGCCGAGGATGAGGGAGAGTAGGGAAGGGAGGGTGTCCCGCTCAACTCATCCACCCCTCGTCTCCTCGGCTCTGCCCTCTCCTCCTCCTCGCTTGCGACCCCTCTCCGAGAACGCGTTTCGATCGGCCCCTGGGCCCCAGGGTCGGCGAGGAGGGGAGGCGATGCGAAAGAGCGAACCGCCCAAGTTGCCAGGCCCACAACAGCCTTCCGACCCGAAGTCAGGCGCACCGCTTCCGCCAACGGGGCCGCGGCGACGATCGCCAGCCAGACAGCGAAGAGGACAGCGCCGCAGAAGGCATTGCCCGCCAAGTCCATCAACTCGTCCTGCCCGAACTCCTCGCCGAACCCCGAATTGTCTGCCTGCTTCTGGAACGTATGCGTGAACCCCTGCAAAGCTAGGCACTCCTCGCCTGTTCCGACGGCCCCTGAATGCCATCCAGGGCTAGGGCGGGGCGCAGCGGCGAAGCAACCGACGGCGACGGCGACGAAATCGACGACGAGGACAACCGCGGCGACGGCATGCGGGGCAGGGGAAAGGAGAGGAGGATACGAAGACGAACTGACCGTCCTCGTTTCTAGTCGAAGAAGGAGAGAGACGGCAACGAGGGAAGAGGGGGGCGAGGGGCGAGGGGCGAGGGCTCGAGGGGAGGAGGTGCGAGGATCCAGAGCGCGAGAAGCGATGGGTCGAGAGGCGAGGGGGAGAAGTGCGAGGGTCGAGAAGGCAAGGTGCGAGGGATCGAGAATCGAGAACCGAAGAGAAAACAGATGCGTCATGGGGGCGTCGCCTGGAAGCCGCAAAGCCGACTGAATAAGAGCCTGTCCACAACTTTGTCCTTCACCTTGGCAGGGCTCCTCCTACACATCCCCACATCACCCCTCCCACGCATCCGCCCCCGCCTGCTGCCCCCCGCCCCAAGGGAGTGACCTTGCCGCAAGTGCCGACCCCCCGGGCCCACATCAAAGAGGAGCTCACGATCGTCGCGGTGCGGTTCTCGCGGACCTTGCCCCAGCTGCTGGACATGTTCATGTCCAAGACGTCTATGGTCTTGAGCCCCGAGGCAGGCCCCTCAGTTGATTCCCAGAGATAGAGCAACTCCTTCGGCCGCTGAGGCAACCCCGCTGCCTTCTCCAGGAACTCCTCCGGAAAAGTGGGAGGATAATCGATATGTGCATGCAGGTAGTAGTCCATGTGGTCGGACCTGTACTTGGGCCCCTCCTTATCCTTCTCCTTCTTGGGCTTCTTCGTCGTCTTCGGCTTGGACTCGGACTCCTCCTTTCGGGCGCTGTTCATCCTCGCCACCGCGGGGTCGTCGTTCGACAGCAAGAACGCCGATAAAGGGCAACCTGCGACGACTCCGGGGACGCTCTCAAACCGTTCCGGGGGCCGCTGGAGCGACCACTCGCGGGGGGCCAGGTTGGAGATCTGCGCCTAACGCCCGAGAGGGTTCACGGAGAGGGGTCAGCGAGGGCTCCAAAGGGGGAATGGCAGAGCCCCGAAGCGGAGTGGCGAGGCAAGAGGGGAAGGGGGGCTGAGGCCAACCCGAGTGCCTAAGAGGGGCTCGGGGATCCCAAAAGCCAAGGCTCCGCATGGTGAGGAGGGGGGGGGGGCAAGGGCAAGGGCACTTCGCCGCGCAGCCTTCGATGCCGGCGATGGCGTGGATCATGTCCACCATGTCCCGCTGCCAGGCTGGCGCCTCGAAGTCGTCGTCAAGCTGGGAGATCTTCTCATCTGCTATACGCACTCCGATCACGTAGTACCGCTCTCTCTTGGAAGGCACGCCGTAATCCAAAGCATCGAGCACGAGCGGCGTGCATAAATAGCCCGCTTCGTTGGCCAATGCCACGATTGAATCCAAATTGCTGGGGCCACCGTCAGAGGGCTTCACCGACAAATTCTTAACGTTCTCAATGATAAACACCGCCGGGTGGTGCGCGGCGATGCACCTCATGCATGCCCTGGCTGTCCCGCCTGCGGGCGGGGGCGCGAGGGGGGATGGGAACGTCATTTGACCTCCCCCTGACTTGCCC